GAATCAAGTTTAATGAAGAATTTTTAATTGCTTTTGGATATTACTGTCAAATCAATATACTAGGAGAGTATGATATACTATTCTCAGATTGAAATTGCTATTTCCTATAGATTAAAAAAAGTTGAAACTGTCAAATACTCTTGGGAAATCCCAGAGTAATGAGTTAAAGCTATTAAACAAACATGCATCAAGTAGTTATCATAAATACTTGGTTGGTGCCAAAGTAACTGCAGTTTTTGCCATTACTTTTAATGGTGCAAATGGTACTTTTAATTGAAAGCAATGGCAAAAACCACAATTACTTTTGCACCAACCTAATACAATATGTCAACTACTCTTGGTTTTTGAAATAGCTTTACTGAGGTATAACTGACATATATCAAATTGCACATGTTTAAAGTGTACAATTTGATAATTTTTGACATGTAAATGCACTTGTGAAACTATAACCATAATCAAGATAATGAACTTACCCATCATCCCTTAAATTTTCCTACTAACCATTTATAAACTGGAGCCTTTGCATTTCCATGACTAATGATGTTGTTTTCATGTGCTGATTTGCCAACCAGGTATATTTTTGTTTGAATATCTGTTGGATTATTTTGCCCATTTAGTTACTAGACTGTTTTCTTATTATTGCATTTTGATCGTGCTTTATATATTCTGGGAAACAGTCCTTTACCAGAAAAGTGATTTATAAATATTTTTCTCCCAGCCTGTGGCTTGCTTTTATATTCTCTTACCAATGTCTTTCCAAGAGAAGTTTTAAATTATGATTAAGCACAATTTACAAATTTGTCATTTTGTGAATGGTACTTTCAATGCTGTACCTAAGAAATCTTCACCTAATGAAAGGTTAGAGAGATTTTCTCCTGCGTTTTATTTAACAAATTTCAACATTTTAGGCTTTACATTCTCTCTACTTGTTTTACTAATTATTGAGAAGGGTACTAAAATCTCTGCTAAAATTACACACTTGTGTACAGACAATCCCCAACTTACGATGGTTCAACTTAGAATTTTTGGACTTTACTATGAAGCAAAAGAGATACACATTCAGTAGAAACCATATATCAAGTATCCATACAACCACTCAGTTTTCCACTTTCAGTAGAGTTCGATAAATTACATGAGACATTCAACACTTTATTATAAAATAGGCTTTGTGTTAGATGATTTTGTTCATCAACCATACGATAATAATGTAAATGTTCTGAGCACATTTAAGATAGCCTAGGCTAAGCTACAATGTTCAGTAGGTTAGGTGAATTAAATGCATTTTTGACATATATATATATATATATATATTTTTTTTTTTTTTTGAGACGGAGTTTCGCTCTTGTTACCCAGGCTGGCATGCAATGACGTGATTTCAGCTCACCGCAACCTCTGCCTCCTGGGTTCAGGCAATTCTCCTGCCTCAGCCTCTGGAGTAGCTGGGATTACAGGCACGCGCCACCATGCCCAGCTAATTTTTTGTATTTTTAGTAGAGACGGGGTTTCACCACGTTGACCAGGATGGTCTCGATCTCTTGACCTTGTGATCCACCCGCCTCGGCCTCGCAAGACATATTATTAACTTACTATGGGTTTATCGAGACATAACTCCATTATGAATTAAAGAGCATCTGTATTTTTCTTTAAAGTTCTAGCATACATTAAGAAATACTCTCTTCTTTTTTTCTTGAGACAGGGTCTTGCTGTGTCACTAAGCTTGAGTGCAGTGGTGTGAGCATAGCTCACTGCAGTCTCAGCCTCCCAGGTTCAAGGAATCCTCCCACATCACCCTTCCTAGTAGCTGGAACTACAGGTGTGTGCCACCACATCCAGCTAACTTTTTTATTTTTTTGTAGAGACAGAGTTTCACCACATTGCCCAGGCTGGTCTTGAACTCGCGGACTCAAGTGATTCATCCCCTCAGCCTCCAAAGAGCTGATATTACAGGCATGAGACACTGTGCCCAGGCAAGTTCCTATATTAGATGTATAAATATTTAGAATTGTATGTCCTCTTAATTCATCCCTTTGTTATTATAAAATAATCCTCTTTATCCTTGGTAATAATTATTTGTTCTGTAAGCTAACTTCTGGTTTTACTTGGTGATCTCAGTTTTATTTTGGATAGTGTCAGCATGGTATTATCTTTTTCCTTTCTTTTAACTTACTTAAATTGGATTTCTTGTAGATGTGATATATTTAGGTCTTAATTTTAAAAAATTGAATCCAGCAATCCCTGACTTTTAACTGTGGTGTTTAGGCCATTTATGTTAATGTGATTGTTGATATGACTGGATTTACATCACTATCTTGCTATATGTTTGAAATGTTCTTTGTCCCCTTTTTCCTCTTTATCTGCTTCATTTTGAATTATTTCCTACTATACCATCTCCTCTCTCTTGTTGATTTACAGGCTACAACTCTCTGTTACTTGAGTCATTTCTTTAGAGTTTACAATATGTGTATTTTCCTATTATTGTCTACCTTCAAGTGATATACTATTTTAGGAATATGTATCAGAACCTTTTAACAATAAATCTGCAATATCTCTGGGATTTTTGCTATTATTATAGTATATTTTACCTTTACATGTTTTAAACCTCACAATAATTGCCATCACTTTTTAGAGGGTTGGAGGGGAGGACAGGGTCTCTATTGCCCAGGCTGGAATACAGTGGGGTGATCTCAGCTCACTGTAATCTCTGCCTCCTGGGTTCAAATGATCCTCCCAACTCAGCCTCCTAAGCAGCTGTGACTATAAGCACGCACCACCACGCCTGGCTAATTTTTGTTCGTTCGTTCGTTTGTTTTTTGGAGAGACCGGGTTTTACCATGTTGCCCAGGCTGGTCTCAAACTCCTGAGCTCAAGCAATCTGCCTGCCTTGGCTTCCCAAAGTGCTGGGATTACAGGCTACCAAACGTGGCAACTGTTATCATTTTTATGTTAAATAGTCATTTGTCTTTTAAAAATATTTATATAATAATTTTTTTCTAAATCTTATATATTTGCCCAGGTAGTTACCATCTCTAGTACTTTGAATTCCTTGTGACCAAGCTTTCATGTGGTTTAATTTTCCTCCTGCTTGAAGGACTCTATTTATCATCTTTTAGTTCAGGACTGAAAGTGATAAATTCTTTCAGCTTTTGTAAATTTGAAATCTTTATTTTGCCTCTCTTCTGAAAGATAGTTTGACTGGGTAAAAAGTCCTAGGTTGACAGTTTTTATATAAAAATGTTTTAAAGATATTGCTTCATTGTCTTCTAGCTTACATTGTTTCTAATGAGAGATCTGATGTCACCCTTATCTTTGTTCTTTTTTTTTTTGGCTACTTTTAAGATTTCTCTTTATTATTTATTTTAAGTGACTTAATTATGATGTGTCTTAATAGAGTTATATTCATCTTTCTTATGGTTATTGTGCTTATTGGTTTATAGTTTTTATCTACTTTGGAAAATGACCATTATTTCAAATGCTTTTTCAGTTCTCCAAATTCTCTTCTGTTTCTTCTGTGCATTATTTTGGATAGTTTCTATTGCTCTATCTTCATGTACACTAATCTTTCCTTTGACAAAGTCTAACATGTCATTAATACCATGTAGCATATCTTTGACACATAATTTGAATCTAGACAGTATCTCTACTTAACATATTCAATCTTTTTGTTAGTTTCTCCAACAGTCGTAACTGTTTTAATTATTATTATCATCAGTATCATTTAAAGGGCAATTTGAAGTGACTAATTTTTCTCAATATGGTTTGTATTTTCTTGCTTCGTTGCAGATTCAGTAATTTGAACTGACTGTAAGATACTGTGAATTTTATCTTTTTGGCTATTGAGTATTTTTTTATTCCTATAAATCTCAAGATTTGTTCTAAGATGTGGCTAAGGGACTAGGACATAATTTGATCCTTTGGGACTTGGTTTTAACGTGGTTAGGCAAGAAGAGAGTTGCATTTAATCTGTAACTATTATCCACTACTAATATAAAACCTTCCAGAGTACTCTACTGAATGCCTTGTAAATTATCAGGCTTTCTGTACTAGGTGGTGGAAACAGGTTCCTCTGGCCCTGTGTGAGCTTGGATCCTGTACTATACAATCTTTTTAGTTGGCTCTTTCCCAGCCCTGGGTACTTTCTTTAAATGTATATGTTTATCAGTACTTTGCTGAACACTTAGGGTTTTCAGCAGCTTTAAGTTATAAATTACTCACTCACCTAGACTGGAGTGCAGTGGCACAATCATGGCCCACTGCAGGCTCCTGGGCTTAAGTGATTCTCCCACCTCAGCCTCCAAAGTAGCTGGGACTACAGCTATGTGTCACCACGCATGGCTTGCTTGCTTACTTACTTATTATCTAGTAAAAACAAGTTCTTGCTATGTCACCCAGGCTAGTCTCAAATTCCTGAGATCAAGCAATCTTCCCACCTCAGTCGCCCAAAGTCCTGGGATTATTAGGTGGGAGCCACACAGCACCTAGCCATACTACAAGCTTTTAAATTACAAATTACTACTTTCTGGTTTTTATCATTCTCATATGCAACTTAGTTTCTGAAGAAGGTTGTTTAACCCTTTAGTGTATAATTATGCATACCTGCAATAACAATATTTTTGGCTTTAACTGTTGTAAAGGTATTCATAAACATTCCAATTTTGCTTGGATGTTGTACATTTCATCAGTGATGTACTGTTAATGAATTTATGCTTTGGGGTGGAGAGTTCTGTAAATGTCTATTAAGTCCACTTGATCCAGAGCTAAGTTCAAGTCCTTAATATCCTTGTTAATTTTCTATCTCGTTGATCTAATATTGACAGTGGGTGTTAAAGTCTCCCACTACTATTGTGTGGGAGTCTAAGTTTCTTTGTAGGTCTGTAAGAACTTGTTTTATGAATCTGGGTGCTCTTGTTTTATGAAGTTAGCTCTTCTTATTGCATTGATCCCTTTACCATTATGTAATGCCCTTCTTTGCCTTTTTTCATCTTTGTTGGTTTAAAGTCTGAAAAATTGTGGAACTCTTCATGACTTTACGTGTCATCTTTGTGCAGGGGCCACGCTAATCTTCCTGCATCATTCCAATTTTAGCATATGTGTTGCCAAAACAAGCACAAATTTATGCTATTTAAATGTTACAGTGTATTTTCGTGTAAGTTCAATAACATGTTTATATATAGGGCAGAGATTATAGCCATAGTTTTGTAGTGTAATAGGTCAAACCATATGAAATTGCCACTGAGGTAAAAACCTTTAAAATAGCAACAATTTAACCTAATGAAAGTATTCATACACTAACAGAAATCGATAATTTACACAGACTGTTAGCAACAAATTTACTATAATTTATTTATCTTATTCTTCTCCAATCCCACATCCACTGGAAAGGAGGAAAGGGTAGTGTGGGTAGGATGGATGGGCCTCACTCTTTTATGCCCCCACTAAGTGAAAAAAGATTTAAAAGGGAAGGGAGCATTCAGAGCCACTGTCCTTACCCCTCTTAGTCAGATATACTAAATTTAAATTTAATTCAGCATTTAGGAGATACAGTTCCCATTCTCCCACTAACAAATTACACCTTAATACTAACATGAAAAGCTTGTTAAAATAGACTTCAAAAGAAATCTTGATCAAGAAGATACTTCCAGTCAGGAAACTATGGAAAAAAGAAAGAATTGCTTCCGAAAAACCAACCCCAATCCATTAAAGGACTGATAGTGTGCACATAGATCAACTTTTCTCTTTCTTTTTGTTTTTCTGAGACAGTTTCCCTCCTGTTGCCCAGGCTGGAGTGCAATGACAAGATCTTGGCTCATTGCAACCTCTGCCTCCCAAGTTCAAGCAATTCTCTGACCTCAGCCTCTTGAGTAGCTGGGATTACAGGCACCCGCCACCATGCCTGGCTAATATTGTATTTTTAGTAGAGACGGGGTTTCTCCATATTGGTCAGGCTGGTCTTAACTCCCAACCTCAGGTGATCCGCCTGCCTCAGCCTCCCAAAGTGCTGGATTACCAGCATAAGCCAGCCTTTTCTTTTTAAGTAACATCTTCTTAAGTTCCACATATAGCTTTAGGTGTCTACTATCTGTGGAGCACACAGGCTACCCTTTAGAGCCAAAAGGCAACTACACCTGGGACAATCCTATTCTCACCTCCAAATATTTTACAGTTTTTTTAAAGAAGTATTAAAACTTTAGTTTTTTTATTAGAGATTAACTTTGCTCTTGCAGAACTTCAAATTCTTGGTTATATCTACCAGTGTGAATTTGGACTGAAGACTAAATCTGCAGTTTCTGTATTTTTTCTGGCCACAGTAACACACTGGCAACTAAATTCACAACAGAAAGCCTGTAAACATACTCATCTTCCCTCATCTTCTTTAAAAAAAAAAAAAACTTCCTTCTCTTTATTTTCCTCTCAAGCTTCTGATTTCTCTCTTGACCTCTATCATTAACTGTCTTAAAACATTAAGTTCTAATATTAAAGGTTAGGATAAAAAATATCCAGACATATGGGTCTTGAAAACAATTATATTCGATATAACTTGAAAAGGGTTTTTATAACAGAAACTCTGAAAACAAAAAGCACTTTGTCGAGAGAAATCCAAGATGGCCTAAATTTAGGAGCAGCTCAGGATTCCAGTTCCCAATGAAAGCGCAGAGGGTGAGTGGACGCCACATTTCCAGACAGATCTTTATTGCCCACAGACCAGGAGGTTCCCAGGTGGAAGAGCCCCATGGGTCGCCAGCACGGCTGTTTTGGCAGGCACGGCTGTTTTGGCCAGTGCAGCTGATTTGCCGGTGCCCTGGCGCGGCGGCTCTCTGTACAAAATTCATTGGTCTGGCTGCCCTTTTAAGCTGGCAACTGGAACTCTGGGAAGGCATCTGATTAAATGGGACTGAAACAGAGAGACAGGCCAGGAGATTCCCGGGCAGCGCCATTGTTTCAGCTGGTGCGTGGGTCACCACATGGGAAATCACACAGATCCCTGCACCCTTTCAGCAGGTGACTGGAACACCTGGGAGAGAGTCAACCATTCAACTTTGATTAAAAAAAGGCTCTGAGGCAGGGAGCCAGGTGATCAGGTTCGGCAGGTCCCACCCTCACAAAAACAAAACAAAAAAACAGCAATTGGAAATGCTTGGGGTTGAGAGTTTCACGGCAAGCACAGCTGAACCCAGGACAGTGCTGCTCAGTGGGAGAGGAGCGTCCACCATTACTGAAGCATTCCACCCCTACGGAGGTAGTACGCCATTGCTGAGGCAGCCCGCTGTTGCTGAGGCAACCTGCCATAACAGAGAGAGTCCCCCATTACAGAGGTGGGCCACCATTGCCAAGGGAGTTCTAACCACACCCATATAAAGAGGACTCCAGGGAAGCTCACATGGCAGCAGGGCGGAGCCCACACCAGCTCAGCAAAGCCTCTGCAGGCAGACAGTGACTAGGCTGCCTCCTGCTGGGCAGGGCAGCCCTGAAAAAAAAAAGCAAAAGCACAATGGATACTCATAAATAAAGCCCTAACTCCCCAGGACAGAGCACCTGGGGAAAAAAAAGGGGATTTATGAGTTCTGCTGCAGCAGACTTAAACGTACCTGCCTAGCAGCTCTGAATGAACAACGGAGCTCACAGCTCAGCACTTGAGCTCTTATAAAGAACACACTGTCTCCTCAAGCAGCTCCCTGACACCCGAATATTCCAAAGAGTCACCTCAAAAAGGACTGATCAGACAGACATTTGGCGGGCATCATTCTGGGACAAAGATAGCAGAAGAAGAAACTGGTAGCAACCCTTACTGTTCTGCCGCTGCTGCAGGTGATCCCCAGGCAAGCAGGGCCTGGAGCGGATCTCAATGATCCTACAGCAGAGGGGCCAGACTGTTAGAAGGAAAACTAAGAAACAGAAATAACTTCATCAACAATCTGGACGTCCACTCAGAGACCCAATCTGAAAATCAGCAACTATACAGACGACAGGTGGATAAATCCACAAAGATGGGAAGAAACCAGCGCAAAAAGGAGGAAAACACCCGAAACCAGAACACCTCTCCTCCTACAAGGGATTACAACTCCTCACCAGCAAGGGAAGAATGGATGGAGAATGAGTGTGAAGAAATGACAGAATCAGACTTCAGAAGGTGGGTAATGAGAAAATTCTGTGAGCTAAAAGAACATGTTCTAACTCAATGCAAAGAAACTAAGAACCTTGAAAAAAGATTTGACGAAATGATAACAAGAATGTACAACTTAGAGAGAAATATGAATGAATTAAAGAAGTTAAAAAACACCACACGAGAATTTCGCAAAGCATGTCCAAGTTTCAACAGCCAAATTGACCAAGCAGAAGAAAGTATATCAGAGGTTGCAGATCAACTCAATGAAATGAAACAAGAAGGCAAGGTTAGAGAAAAAAGCTCAAAAAGGAATGAACAAAGTCTCTAGGAAATGTGGGACCATGTGAAGAGAACTAATCTACGTTTGATAGGTGTACCTGAATATGACGAAGAGAATGAATCCAAGCTGGAAAATACTCTTCAGGATATTACCCAGGAAAACTTCCCCAACCTAGCAAAACAAGCCAATATTCAAGTCCAGGAAATACAGAGAACACCACAAAGATATTCCTCAACAAGAGCAACCCCAAGGCACATAATCGTCAGATTCACCAGGGTTGAAATGAAGGAGAAAATGCTAAGGGGAGCCAGAGAAAAAGGTCGGGTCACCCACAAAGGGAAGCCCATCAGACTCACAGCAGATCTCTCGGCAGAAACACTACAAGCCAGAAGAGAGTGGGGGCCAATATTCAACATCCCTAAAGAAAAGAACTTTCAACCCAGAATTTCATATCCAGCCAAACTGAGCTTCATAAGTGAAGGAAAAATAAAATCCTTGGCGAACAAGCAAGTACTCAGAGATTCTGTCACCACCAGGCCTGCTTTACAAGAGCTCCTGAAAGAGGCACTACACATAGAAAGAAACAACCAGTACCAGCCATACCAAAAACATACCAAATGCTAAAGAGCATCAACAAAATGAAGAATCTGAATCAACTAACGGGCAAAAAAGCCAGCTAGCATCAAAATGGCAGTATCAAAATTCACACATAACAATATTAACCCTAAATGTAAATGGGCTAAATGCACCAATCAAAAGACACAGACTGGCAAATTGGATAAAAAGCCAAAACCCATCGGTGTGCTGTATCCAGGAAACCCATCTCACATGCAAGGATACACAAAGGCTCAAAATAAAGGGATGGAGGAAGATTTACCAAGCAAATGGAGAGCAAAAAAAAAAGCATGAGTTACAATTCTCGCCTCTGATAAAATACACTTTAAAACAACAAAGATTAAAAGAGACAAAGAAGGACATTACATAATAGTAAAAGGATCAATACAACAAGAGCTAACAATCCTAAATATATACGCACCCAACACAGGAGCACCCAGATACATAAGGCAAGTTCTTAATGACTTACAAAGAGACTTAGACTCCACACAATAATACTGGGAGACTTTAACACTCCATTGTCAATATCAGACAGATCAACCAGACAGAAAATTAACAAGGATATCCAGGACTTGAACTCAGACCTGGAGCAAGCAAACCTGAGAGACATTTACAGAACTCTCCACCCCAAATCCACAGGATATACATTCTTCTCAGCACATCACACCTATTCTAAACTTGACCACATAATTGGAAGTAAATCACTCCTCAGCAAATGCAAAAGAACAGAAATCATAACAAACAGTCTCTCAGACCACAGTGCAATCAAGTTAGAACTCAGAATTCAGAAACCAACCCAGAACCGCACAGCTTCATGGAAACTGAACAACTGGCTCTTGAACGTTGACTGGATAAACAATGAAATGAAGGCAGAAATAAAGAAGTTCTTCGAAACCAACAAGAATGAAGACACAACATACCAGAATCTCTGGGACACATTTAAAGCAGTCTCTAGAGGAAAATATATAGCAATAAATGCCCACATGAGAAGAGTGGAGAGATCCAAAATTGACACCCTATCATCAAAACTGAAAGAGCTAGAGGAGCAAGATCAAAAAAACTTAAAACCTAGCAGAAGACAAGAAGTAACTAAGATCAGAGCAGAACTGA